AAGCTACATGGAGCCGACAATGACTAACTATTGCCAAGAGGAGTTGACGCGATTAAGATAAACGACGGATAACGGCGCACTAGGAGGGAAATGAATGACCAGCAATAGCGTTCGGCTTAAGCCTTCAGTTAATAATGGATCCTACGGCGGCACATAATAGGTCAACAAACCAGCTGAGCTGTGACGCAAACAATCCCAGAGAATGAACATTGTAAGAAGAGGGCGAGCTCCGGATATCCGCAAAGTTAAATGGAAGCTATGGTGACTTGCTGCTGCTAAGCACGGATAGTGGCTCTATAAAAGAATGTAGCAGTGGCTGGTGTAGCAATATCATTAAGACGTTTGACCACTACTGGATACCTACAGTTTCGATAAAGAAATCAACATGCGAGCGAAGCATAGAGAGACAGACGTCAGAAGAAAATGAAGGTTGGAGAGTCAGGGAGTTGCTCCTTACAAGCTATATGGAGCCAACAATAACCAGCTGCTCTCAAGAGGAATTGATGCGAGTAGGACGAAAGACAATTCTAATGCTTATATTAGGTGTACCGGCAGCAACAATCGCTTTCAACGTCCTATGCAAGGCTTGGGTCTGGTAGGATGCATTTACTAGGAGTACCTCGATGGTCATAAGTCTAATATTTTTTCCACGAATCCAAAGGTCTAAGAAGTTGAACAGTGCTACATCTCAAGCTGAAGACACGGAATGAACAGGTAGATAAGATGTAAGGATTGAAGTTCGCATGCTCGGTTGGCTTCGTCATTGCCCTGCAATATCCTATATGAGGAAAACCCACGGGTTTGCGAATCTGCCAGTCAGTAGGCTAGATTGCGCTGTTTGTTGCAATTTTAAAACATTGATGATGTGACCATTGAAAAAGAGAAGCCGGAGGGTTATGTGTACCAATTGGTCTATGCAGCCATTGGAACAAATTCAGTGAGAAAACCGAAACATATCAGGAACTAATCAATAATGGCTAACTACCTTTTGCATTCAGAATTCTAATGTTAGTACCTGTACGATGCTTGCGACTGATCCGACTGGGACCTCCTGGGAGTTGTGATTGCGTTAATGGATGGAGACAATTCGTGGGGTATCCCTTATCATCCCTTACCGGATGCATTTGTGTTGGCGCCCACTCTTTCCATAGTGCAATTATAAGGCGGAATTGTCTGTAGGAGAACTCAAGCAAGTCAAGAAGAGATCGTTGAAGACCAAAGGTATCTTGTAATCGGACTGCTATTTTTAAACCTAGAAAACAAGTGCAACGGATACGGTAAAAGTATCTTAGGTGTAAAGACAACAACGACAATGAATGTGGATGTGTTGTAAGCTCAAGGTGCTTAGATGTCTTGCACTACATCGTGGCATCCTCAAGCTAGGTCAGAGTCAGATTCAAAGTGGACTTGCGAATCGCATATATGGAAGATGCTTTGTATATTGTCAAAAGATAGGAGTCTTTGTGTTTCCTTTCTGAGTGCCCGCAAGTTTTGAATTTTTCATATTCTGGAAGGCAACCTGTTCCATATGTTCACGTACACAACTAAGAAGAAACGAGATCGCAGTCTCTTCTTTTCCTTACCGTAACGCCTAGACGCCATCAATACATCCCGTGCCCATGCTGTGCAAGTTCAAGCTCAAGTGGGACTGGAACAATGGAAGAATCCCATGGATATCCATGGTGGAATCATCGTGACCCGGCATGGATTTCAGCGATTCAATTAACTAAATATATAGTTTATTCTCGAATTTAACATATCCCCTAAGCAAAAACAAACTGCTATGACAAACATATCGGAGTTTTGCACATTCTTGTTCATGCACCGGTATGTCAAAATGATCATGCCTGTAAAGGAGTGCCTCACATTGTTGAGAATAAAAGATTTATCTATTTATCTATTTATCTATTTACCTATCCGGGGCACCGACGAAATGGCCTGCTCTCTGTCGCTGTGGCTGCGACGACCCAGGGAGTTATTTTCGGACCCCTGCTGTTTTACTTTGTTGATTAATGACCTACCGTCTTACAGTAGCAGTCATATACGGCTCTGTGCGGACGATGCTAAGAGGGGACGTTCTCTGCGTGTGTCAAGTAATCAGGCGCGTCTTCAGAGACAACGGTGCAACCTACCCTTGTGCATCCGGAAACTTGCTCACAAACAGCAACGCAAAGTTCAAGGTCCGACGCAACGGACGAGGTGAGGGCAATCCGTGCACTATCAATGGCGTACTCCCTAACGCCATACCCCAGAAACGCTACCCACAAGCTATTACAGCCGCCGAGCTGAGCCCCAGCGTTAACGTAGCACACTGACGAGAGAGGCAGTGTGCACCTGGTCCTACATGAGCATACGTAAGGTTCATGCCCTAGAGAAAACTTTGTCCGCCTCTACGGCGCTCACATGCCTGCTGTTAGAGTACAAGATACCTGTGCATCAGCCGTAACTAAAAAAGCAAGTGGCTCTACTGGAAACCGTCCAGAGCAGAGTAGCTAAGTGGTGAGAATATCCCACCTCTTGTACGAAGTGAGACTTGCGGCCCTTAACCTCTTTCGACTGAAATATCGTGGGCCTCTTGATGATCTCATCATAACCTGTTCTCTACTAACAAAAAGCGCCAGAATACTCACACGTTCGTGCCCGCACAGATCATTTAGGAGAGCAAAGCTCAAACTCGTGACTCGGGGTAGGCGGCTCCAGTGCCGAACAAGCAGCTTTAGTTTTCGTAGGGCTTCTGTCGGAAACGTCCTGCCTAAAACCGTTGTCGTTGCAAAGAGCTCTTTAAACAATGCCTAAATGCTTGGCTCCTGCCTAGCTGGCCTTTCAGGTTGAAAGACTTGGGCTATTCGCCGTGCTAGCCGGTAGAGCCACTATTCTTTACATCCTTTGCTCGCGGCGGTCCTGTTTATCCGGAAATCCGCTACAAGTCTATAAAAAGGGAGCGCAGCTTTAGCATTGGCGACATGATAAAAAGTTCAGGAAGGCATATACAAAGCTCATAAACACGGATACACACATCGACATGCACGCATACATACATTTCTATAGCAACATAAGGGACAATCATAGTGTTCCATTGTAGGTTAACTGATCATCGTTTGTACCCTGCTTATGTTCCTACCTGTGCAGGCCTGCCTCGGGTAGTCAAGAATAAACTTTACATTTTTATTTATTTATTTATTTATTCAGGTATTAAGTAACTTTATCGATCTGTCCCGCTGCCTGACAACTGTGCGTTCCCACGCTGACACGTCTGTGTCCTCACATGGAAAATATAACCCCTTCAAGGTCGGCCGTTAATATACACACTTGTGCTTCGTTTCCAGGTAGCTACCTCCCTGCGATGCAGTCGCTGGTTTCTTATGCCTCACACAAATACCGAGCCACAATCTACAACGCTTAGCATCCACGCACAAAAATGGGACCCTGCCGTAAGTCCTCCAGGCAGGTCCAATAAAAAGCAAGGCTTACTCGTTGTGCGCAAGCCCATGCAACTCGTGGAAATCGTTCATAAAAACTGCTTTCAAATATTAACGTTAATGAAATAATTTAACTTTTTACCTGCCACCAAGATTTCGACACACTTGTTCAAAATGCATTGCCATTTAATCAGGCCCAAACCCTCAGATCAAGTTAAGTCAGGTTCCAAGAACGATACTGGCCTCCGCCTAACGAGCGTCCTGTTTCTTGCCTGGTAAGCGAACAAGAACCTCCGGTACTTCGACGTCCCATTAACTTCTGCGGATTTTGCAACAGGTTGGAGCAAAAGTAAAAGCACTCTCTGTACCGTCGAGCAGTACAAGGTTACAGCGACATGCTGCAACACAGGTGCCATAATACTGGAAATATTGCAGCCCAACCCTTAGCTTGGCCTGTGCGGTGTTGCGTTCTATTAGTGCCGGAGGTAGCTTTATCCAGGCATCGACAACTTGATTCGCAAGGAATTTCGCCCTGCTATCCAGCCTAGGTATCTGCTTCTTGAGCTTAAGTTGATGTTCTCCAGGTGACCTGACCAGACTAACACAAACAGTTCAGTATACTGTATGCCACTATAACCCTTCATGATTTTAAACATCTCTATTAGGTCCCCTATTAGTCTGCGCAGTTCCATTGAATACCGACCCAAACTCCATAGGCGCTCAGCGTATGGGTTTTCACCTAGTCCCTCAATCATCCTAGTCGTCCGCTTTTATACCTTTTCCATGCAGGCCAAGTCTTACCGGTAATACGGTGCCCAATCATGCACATGGTATCCTAGATGAGGTTATATCACCGCTATTTATATGGGAAGAAAAACATCTGCACCAAAGCTGCATGAGGATCTGCAGCGAAAATGTCTTTCCGCGCCTTGTTAGTAACGTGCCTACGTTGCGCTAAAGTACTGGTGTTGTTTGGCACAGTGAAACTTAAATCGCGTTCTTCATCTGCGCTTCGCAGTGCTAGGCTCACGACAGATGTTAGTACCGTAAGCCCGTTTTTTAGTGAAGACAGTAAGTGGTATTTGCTCCCGTTCAAAGACAACTCTCATTTAACCGACCAACCCACTACCTTGCAAGTGTACTTAGCCAACAGGTCTTGATTACCTTTGCTGATGATCTGAAGATCGTTGGCAAAAATAGAACAGAGACAATGGAGAAGAGGAGCCAAGTTGTTGCTAAACATGAGGAACAATAATGGTCCTGAAACGGAACTTGAAAACGCCGCAATGAGCATTGCCGAGGTTTTATCTGTTTACGCTGATTCTAGCGCGAAAGTTTCTATCACCAATTAACTCTGAAATCCAAGTCATGAGTTGAGGGTGCGGCCCAAACCATCCCAGTTTCGCCCGGATGTTCTAGTGTTTGCAAACTAAGCAGTTAGCAACATAAAGTTACGCAATTCTAAGCAGCGTGATGATAAAATTTCGTTGTGGTTGTTATAAACAGTTAGCTTTCAAGGTATTTGTTTTAACGCATAACGGCGCCGTTTGGTGGTACTCGTTGTTAAGGTCAATACTTTGAATGGCTAATCGCGCTAAAGCTTTCATCCGGATTCGACCATCTGCTAGCCATGTAAGTATGCCATGGATTGTTGCTTATTAATTTCATAGGCTTATAACAACAAAATATTTTCAGACATTCGAATAAAGAGTGAGTGGGAGTCGATGTTTACGAAAATCTTCGACAACGTATCGCAAGCGAATGTATTCAAAGAAGCGGCTAATGATTTTGTTCCAGCTGCACTCAACGGCATAAACGGTAGGTTTTATATGCACTGAAATCTTCTACAGCTTAAAGTTATATCAGTTAAGATTTAACGGCTCCATCGGATAGTCAGAATCATTGTGTAAGGAGAATATGATTATATGCTGAGTCTTCTCCATCGCATGTAGAACAAAATTGACGTACTAAATGTGCCGCTTTTATAGTCACATCTAGGAGCGTAGCAACACGAAAACACGAACACAATAACTTGAAAAAGCACCAACTTACTTGTCGTGATCTTTTAGAACTTACAATGTAGCCGTGACATACCCACGCAACAGCAAGTTTTCGAACATGGTATTTTCAACGAAACCTAATGCATAAAAGTGGTTATCAACGCTTTTTTCATTGGATCATTGGATTGTAGAGAGCAGAAGGAAAGTCCTTTGTCAGCTCCTTCACTTCCCAATCATTGCGCGGATGCCGTGAGTCGCTACGAGACGGTATTCCACAAGCGGCCGTAACAGCTACTGGAAGAAGCAAGGTCCCAGCTTACTCATCAAGTGAGAATCCAAAAATCGCTTGAAACATTCCTCAGCCTGCGCGTCGACTACATGTTTCGGCAAGTCGTTCCAGTCATTGACAATGCGGGTTGATAGAGCTAGAGTAGAGCGAACTCTGAACCTTCTGGTTTAAATAGTTTCCAGTTGTGCCCCCGCGTGGAACTATTAGTGTTGACTTGAAAGAACGCTTGTAGCTCCATCCCGATTTCCCCCATCAGAATTCGCCTAGTAAAAATCAGATCACCTCTACGTCGACGATATTCCAGGGAGAACAGGTGCATCCGCTGTAGTCGAAGAGGGTAAGGCAAGTCCCTTAACTCCAGTATGGATTTCGAAGCACCCCGCTGGACCTTCTCAATCATGTTACACTGGAACCTGGTAAGAGGACAGATGGCGCGTAGTCCGTATTCAAGGATCGCACACATGAGAAGTAAACAGGATTCTGAAGATATCCGGAGTCAGTCGCCAGAAGGCTCTCCGTATGGCGTGGGACATCCTGTTGGCAGCGGCAACCCTCTGTAGTGTGTCTTCTTCGGTCCGTAAATCAGGTGAAACAAACACACGGAGATCTTTTTCAAGAATGGTGGTCCTGAGTAACACCCCACCAATATGGCATATCCCAACGGTTCGAGGGCGCCTATGGGGAGAACTGAGCATTTTTTACAATTTATGGGCAGTTGCCAGTTGACTGACCAGTCGTGTAAAATGTCCAATGATGCCTGCAATCTGTCAGCATCCTCAAGACAGGATACCTCCATCCACAGCTTCATGTCATCAGAGTAAATCAGGCAATCCATCTGAAGCTCTGATGGAGGCCATTGCTGAATATCTTGAACCGTTTTGGACCAAGTACTGACCCTTGCGGAACACCGCTAGTCATCAGCACAAGGGTGGAGTAGGCTTCATTCACTTGACTCGCGTGGTCCGACCAAGCAAAAAATCGGCGATCCAAGAAAGGACATTTCCAGAGACTCCGGTACCTCGAAGTTTAAGAAGGAGCCTTTCATAGGGGACCTTGTCAACCGCCTTGCGGAAGTCTACAAAAACCACATCCAATCATTTCCCAGCGTCTAACGACCTCGCCCAGTTTCCCCTAGCAACAAGCAGGTTCGAGGTACATGAGCGTGGCCGCCAAAAGCCATGCCGAGCACAGGAGATGATGTTAAGGTTCTCGAAGGGAAGCTGCATGGCGCGCTTGTGAATCCTTTCCATTAACTTGCACATTACGGATGTGAGGCAGATAAGTAGGTAGTTTGCGGGACTTGACGATCCTTTCCCTCGTATATAGGTTTAACGATACCCAATTTCCAAGCAACCAGGAGTCGTTCAGCTTCCAGGTAGTGACGAAATACCTGATAGACGGGAACGGCAATGTGGTCCGCCACGGTCTTGAGGAACAGCGGGTGCAGTCCATCAGGACCCGGCGAGGAGTTCGGATCCAATTCACGAAGGCCTTTGACAACCTCAGCCACACTCATTTCTATGTGCTGCAGCGAAGAGGGGTAGATTGGCGCAATGTCACCGGGTAACGGCGTCTAGATCGAGTAAACAGATGAATACTGCAGGGCTAGTAAACTGACTTTCGTCCCATCGTCGTTAATTGAACCGCCCTGCTCTGCAGCAAACAGGGCAGGAATGCCACTGCCAGCTTTGGTACTTCTTTTCAAGTAAGAGCAGAGTGCCTTCGGTGTTGTCCTGGATTGCAACGCTAAACTGCGTTGTTACTGATGCCGTTTCTGAGGTTTTTTTCAAGATGCAGTCTTTTCTGAGCAGTTTGCACTCCGAATAGTCAAGCGCGCAGTGAGTAAGCTTGAATCGGTCCCATAATTTACGTCTTTTGGACATTAAGCACCTCAACTCTCGGTCTATCCATGGTGGGCCTCCGGTAAACGTTCGCCTTTTGCAAATAGTAACAATTTGCGCAACAAGAGAAATCAGCTTGGAGTACAAAAAGTTCCACTCCTCATCTGTGTCCGAGGATAGAGGGATATTCCAGTCCACAGCGCTAGCGGCCGCTTTCAGGCGGATTGGATCGGCACGCCAAAAAATCCTGCGGAAACTATCTTGGTTTTGAAGAGTGAGGCGTCGAGTTTAGAGAAATACAACCATACAGTGATCACTATTACCAATAGACAGAAGAGTGGTAATGTCTGCGACATCTGATTGCGCCGGGGAAAGTACAAGATCGCTTTGCTTGAAGGATTGTACAGAATCTGAAAAAATAATATGAGTGGACAACCAGTTCCAGAAATGTGTCCAGCGTCACGCAAAACAATGCATGCGAGCGCCAAGGTCTATATCAAGTTAGGCTGAAACGATAGGATGAACCCCTTAAGTGTTACTTCTCGAGCGAGTCGTTGATTTAGGAGTTGATAGGGGTGCTCCGACTTGATGGGTCTAAAACGAAAACACCCGAAAATATACCCTAGTCCACCAAGTTAATGCCTACGCTCCTTGCATTGGCTGTCCCTGTTATGCCAGTCACTGAAAGCAAGTAAGAGAGGAGAATTATTGAAGGTAACGAGTGAGGGAAATCAGTTAAAATGAGAGGATGATGCCAATGGTGAGGGAAGTACAGAAAGTAGAATCGAAGTATGAAGATGAACATTAGTCAGGAAGAAGGAAAGGTTTCATGTTGCCACCAAAGAGGATCTAGTTGACGCTCAAACCTCTTAACCGTAGCTTCTTTGACAACATTTTCTGGAAGCGAGTTCCTGTGCCCGATGACTAGAGGCGATAACCTTGTCTCTGCTCTAACTCGATCGGACCACGGTTTGTTCAGCTTCGTACAATGCCCGTGGAGACCAGATAATCTAGCAGGACTTAATATCCAGGACAAATCAGGGCCAACCTTCCCAGTCAAAATACGGTAGGTTAGAATTAGGTCCCCTCCAATCCTTCCATAAGGCATTGAATGAATCCCCAAACTAAGTAGGCGTTCGGGTGCGTTTGCCCTCGTAATCCCTTGACCAACCTAGTACCGACACGCAACACCCTTTCTAGTGCTATTTTGTCCTGGACAAGGCATGGTGGACACACCTGGAAGTAATATTCTAGGTGGGGCAGCACAAACGCTGAGAAGAGCTTCACAAACACACCGGCGGTTAGGGCCTCAAAAGAACGACGGATATACCGCAACATCCGGAACTCTTTACTAGCCGCCTTCTTCCAGTTGTCTCCAGAGTGTCGTGTGGAACAGTAGACGACACCTAAGTCAACCTGATGAGTCAGGTGAGGAAGTTCGCTCCCATCCAGCACATAACTTGTGGAGGAAGCAGACGCTCCGATACGCAGCACTGAACACTTTGCCCGGTTTATAGGCGGCAATCACAAGACAGACCATTTCCAGAGTCTACTCAGAGCCCGTTGAATAGCCACAGGACCTACAGAGATATCAACAATACTCCAGAGCTTTATATCATCAGCAAATAAGAGCGATGGTATCTCAAGCTCCCCGGCAAGTCATTCACGTAGACTGTGATCAGCAGCGGATCTAAGACAGAACCTTACGGAACGCCACTAAGGAAAACTTACCGAAACAAAAGACTGCTTCCTACACAAACACACTGTTCCTGTCCATCCAGGGAAGCTGAGACCCACTGGAAAGCGCGACGATATTCCATAAGACCATAATTTCAGAGAGAGTCGCGAACGGTGGACAGTGTGAAAAGCTTCGGCGAAGTCAATGAACAGACCGTCCACTATCTACGGCTTCAGCCCAGCTCTTACGAGCTATCATTAAGTTATTTTTTGACTCAAAAATCCTTTGTGAAAACCATGTTGCTCGATGCTAAGCAAGTTAAACATATTTAAATGGTTCTCCACCATGCCTTGTATTAATTTTTTAGATTATTTAATGACCACGCTAGTCAAGCGGACAGGCCTGTAATAAGCCGGTAGGTATATTACCGCACTAACACATCGGGCAGGTAACAGCCTCCTTCCCTTCGGTAGGCAAGACACAGCTGTTGAGTGACTTCTGAAATATACAACTCAGTGGTCTACTGAGTTCCACTAATAATTCGTGCATCAAGGTTGGATGAACAGAATCTGGCCCAGCAGCCTTAGTTGGGTTAAACTCTCTCAGCAAGCTGAGAAATTGAGACTCAGTTAAAGGAATGTTATCCAGACAAGAGGCCTTAGAGAATCTTCAGGCTGGTTTTCTGCATTGCTTACTTGTTTGGCGGACAAAGACGCTTGAGTACTACTCACTAAGTACGCATGCCTTGTCATAGTCGCTATTGGCTGGTTTCCCTCGCCTCAAAGCAACGGTGGTATTGGCGCTTTTGCACCACAGTGTCATTTAACGTAGGTGAAGCATTTCTTTGAATTTTTCTGAGGCAGCATTAGCTAAGCTCTTTTCATACTGAAGACTGGCCAATCTAAAACGTAACGCACGCATTTCAAACCAATCAATACCTGTCAAACGTGATGTTTGACGGAGTTGTTTGATATGCACGCCAGCGTCTAGACCGCTACTTTAACAGGCCC